GACATGAAGCACTGGTCACCAAGAGACTGTGGTGGTGTCTGCAAATCCCTATGAAAGCCTGGCATTGTCTATTTCAATAGACACTTTAAATATATGACACACTGTGCCTATGTGTGAATAAGTCATCATATGTGTATGTGTGTGTGTATATACACACACATATAATTTTTCAAGAGTATATAAATAGTATTGTGATGAATAGAATTTATTTTCATGGCATTACTAATTTCATAACTCTTTATACATTATGTTGTGCTTCTTGTCGCCATCAACAAAAAGCACGATTACCAACAAAAAAAGGAAATTAAAATTGTTACAACACAGTCTTTGATTTTGATAAAACCTTTGCATCTTGCATCGATCYCAGTGGTAGGTGACAGGAGAAAGGGTTTTGTGTTTTGACTGAGTAGCTCACAAAGTCCTGGAATCTCAGTTTTTTTAGGTGTAAAATTAGACTATGATTTCAACCTTCTTCCAAGTGTCTGGGGACTCAAAAAGGAAAGATGAGCATGTTTTGCAAATTATAAAAGGCTACATAAATAAAGAGACCACATAAAGGGAGAAAATAGAGGTGGCTTGTAGACTCCGTTTGTGGGTTCAGATTTTGTGGGAATGCTTTGGTTGTGTGGACCATAATGGGAGCTCCATGGGCTCCAGTGGAATGACAAGTCAAGCAAATAAAATTCAGAAAAGTCTGGATATGAAGTTCAAAGTCAGGACACGTGCAGGACAAATTGATTTTGAGGCTTCACAAGATGAGTTCAAAGGGTTGTTTTATTCCAAAATACCACACATTCATTGGCCAGCCCTAATCTGATCCATCTCTGGTTGTCCCCGATGTTTTTGCCCATTTCGTCTCAACATAAACAACCGTAATAAGTACGTTGCTGCTGACAACTAGAACTGAATAAAAGCAAGTCAGATATGAGCTGAACCCTGAAACCAGATCATTAGCCAAGGTCACGATTGGTTTAGAAATTTGTGTTGTTTTCCTTCCTGTCACTTGCCAGCAATATATGGCACTTTTCCCCCCTTGTAGTTTGCAGTCGGCTGGGCCCTGAGCCATGTGAGACTGTTTTTAATGGCAAAACCTTCAAAGTTSTACTTAAAATATTTGCATCATAAAATCCCTCCTGGAAGCCAAACTTCAGTTTCAGAAGGAGCCTTCTAGCAAGCAGCAGAACTTGCCTTCAGAGACAGAAGAAGAGTTCCTGCTAACAGCACCATCTTCCCGCAGCTGATCCCATCCAGGTTTGTGATACCCARGGAGAATCAGATCATGTGATGCATCCACAGGGTCCAGGAGCACACTCCAAATGGCTTTTCTAAGCCAACTGCTGAGATGACTCAGCAGTTCATTGAGCAATTCAGAGAGAGTGTTTTTTTCACACATTTAATTGATCCTGAGAGCAAATAAGTGCTAAGAAAGAAAATGAGTAATTGTTCTACCTCACTGTGGGAAGACAAGTACTTTGTTTCTTACATTTTTCTCATGTCCAGTATTTGATAGATCCATATGGAGAGGGGCAGGCTAAAGCACATAAAGTTTGCTTTCAAAAACATTAAAATCAGAAAATAATCTCAGCAGCTCAGGAGGATCGAAAGTTCAAAGCCAGCCTCAGCAACCTAGCAAGGCCCTAAGCAACTCAGTGAGACCCTATCTCAAAAAAAATACAAAAAGGCTGGAATGTGGCTCAGTGGTTAAGTGCCGCTGGGTTCAATCCCTGGTACTGGGAAAAAAAAAAAATCAGAAAATCAAAACTGTTCATTTAAATCTTAACATGGGAAAGGAAAAAAAATGTTCTTAAGCAAAGGATGCCTAATCTTAAGGAATTCACAATGGACTCCTTTAAAAGTGAACTTCCTTACTATAGAATTTAGCCTAAAGAAATTAAATCTACTGACAAAGGCTACCCATAGATTTTTTTACTTTGTGGAATGGGATATGAATGCTGAGAAAGAAGGAGAGGAGGMGGCATAAATGCTGGCTGGGAAGATAATTGGAGATAAGAACTCATCTAATGGGAAAATAAGTTCTTTCTATGTGGAARGCAACAGCAATCTTCCCTTTTACCCATGAGCTCTGAAGCAGAATATCAGTTTCTTGTTTTTAAAAAGGGAAAAAGAAAACTTACATTCAGAATTACAATCTTCATCCCCCACACATTTTTTTTTAAAAAAAGTCAATTTAATTCAACCAGCTTTTGTGATCTAATCATTACTCAGAGCTAAAGGTGGATTTCCATTAAAGCATCTCCGTCACTCTCACTTTCTGACCTGTGAACGCTCTTATTAGCTGCCTTATTAAGATGATATCCTGTCTCTGAAGTAAGAAAAGAAGATTATCTCCTTACCTGACATGTCATCACTGGAGTAATCTTTGTTCAAAATAAAGAAGAAAAAGAAAAGAAAAAAAAAAACAGAGCAATTAAATAGACATTTAAATTTATGGCACACTATGCTATCCAAAGGAGGATATTTATTGCTTATAGGTAGTTAGTATAACCTTACTAACTTATCCTTCCGTGATTAGTAACCAAAACCAGAGACATGTATGCTCTGTTTAATCTTAGTTTGTTTTTGACTTGGGGGTAACATCTGAGCCTAAAGGACTCAAGAGTTAAAACAGGAACATATTAAAATAGACAAATATGGAATTATAGATGTTCTTTACATATGACACCTACTGTATGGACAAATATGTGTACCTTCAAATAAAAACACTGGAGGAGGGGGACCAGTCTTGAGAGTGACCACCATATTTGGGTGGAGCAATAACATGGGCAGAGAATCCACTGTGACGCCTGGTCTCTCACTTGTGGCCACCTCCTTCTCAGACTCATTCTGGTGGACAATTACAAAGAACATTCTGAGAGAGTGGTCCGTCTGTTTAAAATTTCCACCTATTATCAAAAGGAATTTGGAATAATTGCCYCTACTTGACAAAAAAGACACACATTTATTTGGTTTGCTCTTTATGATTTGATATATTTGACTTTCTTGGTAGCAAATTGAGAAGCCCACATGCTAGTTTCCTCCAGTGGGACCGCTCTGCTAATTGGGGGATGCTTTGATCTCTGGGCTGCCTTTGTGYTTTTATTTTGGTACTGGGGGATTGAACCAATCACTGAGCCATATCCCCAGCCCTTTATATAGTTTATGTAGAGATAAGATCTTGCTGAGTTTGCTAAATTGCTGAGGCTGGCTTTAAATTCCTGTTCCTCCTGCCTCAGCCTCCCTAGCTGCTGGGATTACAACTCTGAGTTGCTTTTTGTTCTAACTAACTACAAAGAAAGAAATGAGGGGAAGTTTAAATATGATACCTATATTATTGTTATGGATTAGATGAGTAACTCCCATAGGTTCATGTGTTGAAGGCTTGGTCCCCAGGGCGGTGCTATTGGGAAGTTGTGGAATCTTTGAGAGGCAGAACCTAAGTGGTATGCCCTTGAAGTGGATCCCTTTCTTTGCTTTCTGGCTCTTGATGTGAACACCAGCTTCAACACATGCTCACACTCTGATGTCCTAATCAATGGGGTCACTCAATCTTTGACTTAAATCTCCAGTACTGTGAGCCAAAATAAACCTCTCTTTACTTCCTAAGGAGCCTGGGTTCAGTATTTCATTATGTGGTTGTGATGCTAGTACAGTTAGGCAATGCTGACTTTATAATTTATGCTTTTAATATAAATATTTATGGTCTTAATAGGCTACGAGTGCTAATAATGTCATAAAGGAACTATCTTTCCCAAGGAATATCTGAGTTACTCCACTTCCATCTCTAGCCAAGTGTGGCCCACCCACCTGCCTGCTTTTGTGGAATCAGGGCTTCTCTCTGAGGGTGCTGGGCAGAGGCCAGTGCACATCTGGCTTGTCCTCCTCAGGGACATGCTTTCCTAGGTGATCCCCTCAAGTCCTTGTGAAAGAAGGGTTCTGGACCCAGGAATCAGTTCATTTAGACAAGACTGATTGATTGATAGGGTATATTTTCACTCCTACACKGACTCATCTCTATTCCTACTTCTCTTCCCAGTGCGGCTCAAATTGTCAGTTTTAATTCACAAATCCCTTTGTGATTTGAGTCCCCACCACATTCTCTATTACCTCTCCTGCTCTGCTTCTCACTGTCAGTTGAGATAAATAGTCTGTGAGTTTTGGCATTTGCAATGGGCCTCCTGGTCAGTGAGAAAATTAACAAATCTGTCCATCTTCCCTTTTCCACTTTCCCACACCTGCCATGCACATCAGAGCCCAAAAGGTGACATTTTCTTGGCTTGCCACGCACCTCTTCTTACTAAAGGTGACAGGACTTTGATTTAGTGACAAGATGAGGGCTGCCATGAAAACTAACTGATGCTGGGGCACCCCCACAGACAGGGCATTTTGGATGAGTCCTTGCAAAGCGTGTCCTTAGGCTGGAAACCACATCTATGTTTGTGCAGAGACACACCTAGGGATGTACTGCCCTTTATGCCTTTGACACCCTGTACAAAGTATTAATGAACATCCATCTAAAAGAAGTAGCAAAACATTGTTTTGTGATCTGGAAAATAAGAACCACGTCAGTATAGGAAGGAGAGTAGAATTTGGACCTTTTTCTGGGCTTGCTATATGTGAGGCCAGAACTCACTGAAAATACCTGCCTTGCCAAAACAACCCCAAAAGGGCAAAGGGCAGCAATGGAAATATTACATAGCTTACTGCATAATTATTATTTTATTCTGTCCTCGCATCTTGGCTCCTTCAGTTCAGAATTCTTCAGGCTTCTTTATGTTGCCTGGGTCTTCCCAGTTGTCTATTAAGAAAGAACTTCTGTCTTTTCCATCTCTCTCTCTTTTCAGGTGTTCAAATAAGTAATCCATCATTCATTTCCATGTGTGCACACAAAAGACATAAGAAATTTTCTACTTTCGCTAAATATGAAAAAATCACATCTGTTAATATACTTTAAAAAAAACAGCTGGGAGAGGTTCTACAGGAAAACTATAGACACCACAAACAACAGGAAGAAATATGCCTTTTATTAGAAGTCTCATATGTACAGGGAAAGCTGTTTCTCACAGCTCAGGGAAGGCTGTGAGAAAGAGCCACTGTCATCCAAGGTCACCGTGCTTACATTGGTAACACCATTTAAACATCGCTGCACATTATTAACAAATAGAACCATTACACAGAAATGCAAAAGAGACACARGGACGTGTGGACACTTCACGTATTTTCTAAAAACAAGTCGACGCAAAAATACAATGTGCCAGTAAAAAAAAAGAATAGGCATATCAATACATGTCTTTTTTTCTTCTTCTTCTTTTTTGTTAATACACGTTATGCTGAGCTTTCATCTCAAGCTTTTTTCACATCGGGATTCGCAGGCACTTTAGCAACCCAGCCATGGTTTACAATACAGAACGTTCAGACCGACAGATGAAAACAGGGAGCAACCGAGGGCCTTGTGACCTGCACGTGCRATAAAGTATTGACATGAGAGCAATCTTTTGTTACTGTTTTGGGACACCATAATGTTCTCTGTGTAATGYGGAATGGCTTTTCCCTTATTTGTCTTTTATGTTTCATGGCAGAATTATTTAGAGACATGGTATCACCAGGCAGGGATACAGTATGTGGATATGCTAGACAAATATCAGTTCCAACCGACCTTAAGAACTACAGAGAGATCCATTTTTAGAATTCAAAAATGACCAACTGATTTATCTCTGTCCCACTCTATGCCCTTCCTTCCACACTGTCACAACAAAAACTAACTAAAATAATAATTGGGATGTACTGGCCCATACACCTCCTGGGAGAATTCTTTCTTCAGCTCCCCCCCTCCCTCCACATGGTTCAGGGCAGGCCCAGTCCTTCCTCCACCCAGGTTACTCCCATGCCCCTCGTTCCCTTAGCAGAGCTGTGCYGACTCAACACGTGTCAGGGACATGACTGAACAAGTGTATTTATAAACACAAGACTAGAATCATCACTTTACTGGTAATGTTGAGTTATAAGGCAGTTACACAAGGACCCCCCTGATAACCAAATGGTGCTGGAATATGGCTTAGCTTCTTTAGTATATGATGACGGAACTTTCCTGATACAAGTTGCTGAGAAAGRGAAGGGAAACCCACACTGATTACAAAGCTCTATAAATGACTGTGCTGTGAAGTACTGGAAAGTCCCAGTTTCTGGTGTATGTCATCCACTGTCATCCACTAGAAACTGAGATATCCCCTCATAGCTAAGAGAATGTAGAGGGGAAAAAGAAGAATCAACACCTTCTTCAGCTTCATCTGTCACCCAAGTTGTATGGGACCGTAACAACAAAGCCATGGATATCTTATGCATTGGGCCAAAATTCCGGGTACTCCAGAGAGATGCAGAGGGTGTGGATGCCTCGAACAGATGATTGTCAGATGGTGGGAAATCCTTCCATGAAAGAACACTTGAGACATAGCGGCAAAGACATTAAGGCCTTCCATTTCTTTGCCCACACTGCTTAAAGGCACTGATACCAACAACAGAAATATTCCATAGTACCATCAAGGTTTTAAAAAACTCCCAAAATACAAGTCTTTGTATGAAAATGTCCTTTATTGCATGACATGAAGCATGTGTTCTCCTCGTGCTCAGGAATAGAAGGGCCGCCCCTTCTCAGGAGTTTGGAGTCTGTTCAGTCTGGCGACCTGAGAAGGCGACGGGGGCACATCTTGCCGGAAGGGCCCCTTAGGAGGGGCATAGTTGGGGTCCTGGACTTTCTTATACGAGTCATAGTTGCTGGGTCCCTCAGGAGGAGGCTGCTTCTTCATCTGCTGTTCTTTCCGCCGCTGCTCCTGGCGGAGGAGCTCCTGGGTCTCYAGCATGACCCTGGCGTTGAAACCGTGCCCTCCCAGGTAGCCGTTTCTGGAGCCTTGGTAGCTAGAGTACCTGGGGTTCTCCTTGGCACTCTGGAAACCTTCACCAGGTGGGTAGTTCTGTTCCCAGGAATCCTGGGAAACAGAACTGGCATTCTTCCTGCTTTGCCTAGAAAGCAAAGACCACAGGTTAGTGTGCAGGTTGAGAGAAGYGAGGAGAGGAAAGAAAGAGGAAGGAATGGGTGGAATCAATTATTTCCATGTTTCGACAAATTTTACCCTGTATGAATTGTGCACTAGACACCATGATAGGAGCTGGAGAATTCCAAGACCACTGTCCTCACTCAGCAAGCTCAGAGTCTCCAAAGAGTCAACAAACACAGGACAAGAGAGAGAAAAACAGATTYGGCAGCTATTTGGAAATAAGGGTTCTCCTCCTGCGTCTGGCGAGGTACTATCTGCTCTGCTTAGGGTAACAATATCTCCTGCAATTTAGACACATTGGCAAGGATGGGAGTATTAGAGATTTGGCAGCATCAACCATAGCAATAATTGCTGCTTGCTTTAGAACGTTACAATTCAATTCTAAACAAGCAAAACAAATATTTTACACAGCTGCCACCATAGTGCCAGAAATGCTAGCTAATATGAAGTRCATGTAATGGATTACCATATGAGTTCAGTTATGTAATATTTAAGTCTAAATTCCTTTGTGATTAAAAATGCAACAGGCAGCCCTTAAAGGCCCACTTTCAAGTTCTATATGTCAGCAACTGGCACTCTTCAGAGCATAAGCCCAGGGAGAGCCTGAAGCCTGAAGGGTAAGYACTATTTTCTTGCACACTTTGCCTTCACCAAGGGCTAGGGCAACCGACTTAACTCACTTTGTCACCCCAGGATTGAGAAATAAATCAGTCATCCAGAAATTTCAAATTTGAATCACTTCTACAATAAAGTTGCACATGATTTTCAGGAAACATTATTGTTTCGAAACATCTTTAATTTACTATCAAGTCCCAAGATGCTTTTATGAATTTACAATAAGATTGGCTATGATAAAGTGAAACAATTTTGCGCCAGGAAGGAAGACATGCCCTAATTTTTTGTCTTGAAAATGGAAGATGGGGGAAGAGACGATTGAGTACTAAACCAAAATATATTGCTCCATTTATCAATAAGAAAATCATTTGGCGACAGTATGCATGGCTCAGCCTTCTGCATCAACACACACAACATGGCTGAATGTTCAAAAAGACTCCTGCCTGTGGAAGGAAAATAAGGTCTGGGAAGCCACCGGGTTTCCCACAGGAATGGAGCAATTTGCATTTTTGAACATTTCAAACTGCCAGCAATATGGTTTGGGATGGAATCTGCCCATTTTCCATATGGCCTAAAATGTAGCTGGGGATGTTTTCAAAATGGAAAATGAACTTAATGTCCAGTACCACCTCTGGATCTAACTATGATTAATTAGACAGTCTACAGGAGAACTATCTGGCCCTCTTTTTGTGGGAGTCAGGCCATTTGTACAATCAGCCCAGGCAAGAATCCTTAGATTTGATGGAAGAGTTTACTTGCCTGAAGCACTGATTATCTTCACTTAAAAAGTCATAAATTAATCTGCCTAGAGACATGAATGATGGAAAGTGTCAGCAAGAAACCAGGGATTTGACATTAATCATGAAACTTTAATTAAAACAACGAACTTGTTACTGATATCTGAGCAACAAGGGGGGATTCCTTTATGAGTTGGTTATCAATTTAGAGATAATCAGAAATAGACTGTAGAAATTTCACCTCTTTTTCATTCCTGTCCTACTGAGACTCACGAATGCCCTCTCTTCCCAACTCCTGAGGCCTGGGGCGTCACTTTAGGGTGGCTGTGCACCACTGAGTTCAATTTTGGATCATCCCAGAAACATACAGTCTTGCTATATTTAAATGCATTGAGAATTCACTAAGGTTTGTTAGGGGTAGAAATTATGATGATGTGGGAGAATGAATTTCTCATAGCTAAAATTTTTCTTCAAATTAATCGGTATAGAGAAGGAAGCAAACTGCCCTGAGGTTTGAAAGAAAGTATACGGGGGAAATGCATAGACCCACATGTGTGCACATGTGCACGCACAACACCCACACAAACATACACCCAAACTCTCTCAGTAGGGAAGCTACTGTTATCAATAAGTTCTTGATTATGGAAAGGATGAACAATGAGTTGATTGAAGAGATCAAGAAAAGAAAGCAGGGCCTGGGGCTGGGGCTCAGCAGTAGCACACTTGCCTGGCATGTGTGAGGCACTGGGTTCTATTCTCAGCACCTCATATAAATAAATAAAAATAAATAAAGGTCTATCAACAACTAAAAAATATTTTTTTAAAAAAGGAAGCAGACACTAGGAGTTCCAACATTAGAAAACTAGACATTCAGGCACCAGGGCACAGGGGGAGAGTGGCTGAGGAACAGACAAAATGGGTTCAGATCCTAAAACTGCCATGTGTCAGCCACGTGATGCAGGGGAAGTTATGCTCTCTGGATCCAAGTTAGCTTGCCTGGTAAATGGGCATATCTGACCTTATAAAGTCATGGAGGGAAATAAATAAAATATCACCCATGTAAAGTGCTTAGAAAAGTGAATAATGTGCCTTTAGTACTGGAGAAGCAATTTGAACCCAAAGTTACTTTTCCTTTCAAGAGGTGGCTCTCAGTTTTAGGGGGCATCTTTTGGACCACAGTAAAAAGCTAAAAAACACTATTAATTTTCCCTTCTTTGGTCAGAAGTGTTGGGTAAAGATCATGGAGCAGAGAAAGTTACTGGAGAATAAGTAATGAGCCTGTAGTAAGGAAGGACAACTCCACACCACTTCCAGAGAGATCAGAAGAAGTCCTTGCTTGGAGACTGAGGTTATCCCTGCTGCCCCAGGATCCCTCAGCCAAAGGGGTCACGAGTGCCAACAGCAAAAAGCATCCATCTCCTTTCATCAGATTTCTTTACAACCAACACCTGGGTTTCTTGGGTCCCACAAAGAGCTCACTGGAGATTTTGGAATCCACTTCACACACATATCCTGGTTTGGCAATAATTACCTCCGCATGTTTACAATGACCTCCCATAAGGCCTGAAGCCCATTGTCATGGAGAGGACAGAAACCAAAGATCTAGAGACCTTAGGAAAGGACTTAGGAGGACAAGAAGGATGAAGAGAGAAAAAGAACAAAGCTGAAAAGCTTAACAAGCAGGCTGTAGATGTAACAAATGGGCCGGGGGTAGGGGGGACCTGTGAGGGCTCAGAGAGGCAGCTGGTGGGGAGGCATGCACAGCAGAGGCGTTCGGCAGACATGCAGCCGAGGCAAGGGAGAAAGAAAAGGAAACGGTGAGCAGGAAAAGAAAACAGGAGAAGTACTGAATCAAGGATCATAAGTGCCCTTCTATCATCGACCTTGCCTGCATGCACCTCTGCTCACTGTGACAGCTGCCTTCTGGGTACTAAGGTAAGGAACTAATTTAGGAATCAAAAAAAGGAAAACATCCTAGCCTGATTGAGAATTAAGTGTGGGGCCACTCAGGTCCCCTTTCCTCCCAAACTAGTGTTACCACCTGGCTAGTGTTTCTCATTGACATTTCAAAATGTGACTTGAATTCTGCCCATGGATTTCCTTAATTACAGTTAGAATTTACAAACTAGTCAGGCCCATATACATTCCTCTAATTCAAACCACCTTATCTAATGCAACTGATACCAAGACTTGACCATTTGTTTTACTTTATGTTCCACTTTGTAACTGTGTGTGTGTGTGTGTGTGTGTGTGTGTGTGTGTGTGTGTGAAATCTTTTTGGTTTCAAATGCCATACCAACTTGTTTAGACAAAACTCTGCTAATTGTCAACATCCGAAAGGCAGAGGTCAAGTGTCTCTGAAGAATAGCACATGTCAGAAACTTGGACTTGACCCAAGCTCATGTAGGTTGTTCCAAGTCCCCCTCTGACCTGCTGGTTGAGTCCTTCGCCTTCCTTCAGATGGCTGCGCCACACACAGCCTGCTTTAAGGGGTACTGCTCTGCAAGGAATGAAGCTGGGGTAGGGGGCTGCCCATTTCTTACCTTCCTCACAAATACCAGGATTCACACTGAGAAGTTATTCTCTAAAAGAAGAGAATTGAGAGAACATGATGCAGAAGGGCTCCCAGCCCCTTTTGCCAAAACTCACGTAACTATTTTGGGGATGTCTGCTTTTCTTCTATCTAAATAGAACACAATGACTAAAAATAGGGAGCTACAATTAGCCCAGAGGGAAAGTTTCTTTTTTATTGTGTGAAACTCTAAAAAGCAGTAGTACTAGTAATCACAGAAGCACCTCACATGTACATGTGTTTGGACATGTGAGCACTCCTACTAGTGCTGGGAGTGTGTGTGTGGCGGGGGGTGGTGAGGGACAAGGCAAGAAGGAAGAGGTGTGTGGAAGAGTGGGGTACATGGGTAGTAAAGGAGGGGTGAAGAGGGGTACAGCAGTGTAACTATGGTTGACAATCATTAACTGAATATTTCAGAGTAGCTAATAGGATTGTGAATGTTTCAAACATAAAGGATGTATGTACATCTGAGATGATACACAGGCCAGTTACCCTGCTCTGATCGTTGCACGTTACATACATGCATCAAGTGTCACCTTGTACACCATAAATATGTACAATTACTATGTGGTAATTAAAATGTTAATTAATTGAAAAAAAAACAGTGACGGGGGAAGAAGAAGACTTGAGTAACAGGCTCAGTTTTAGATTATAAGAGCTACTTTGGAATGGGGTCACTGACATTCTTCCTCTTCCCAGTCCTTAGATCCTAGTATCTCTCTTCTCTCCTACAGGGCCTGCTTTCCAGACCCTCCCCACCAGCATTCTCTCCTATCTCCTTTCCTTAGTTCTTTACATTTTTCTAGTTCTCCTTCCTTCTCATGAATACTCCTAAACACACCTGAACTATACGAAGCCAACATTTTACCCATCCAAACAAGAGCAAGGGCCCTGCAACTCCATTCACACAAGCCATGTGCCATGGCTCACTTATGTGGCTATAGAGTCAGGGCCACACCAAGTATGTCAGTTCATCCACAATATCGTGCCCACCTTTTCTCTTGAATACAAGCCAAACAAGTTGGGAGAAGGGAAACATTGTGCATGGTGTTTAGCATTTGATACAGTGGCCCCTTCCTCCATATTCTAAGCTCAGCAAAATACCCAGGGGAACTTTATACCTAATAACACCCTGTACTTGGGAACAAAAGCTCTTGGTAGCAAGGTGGGCCTTATAAAATAATGATTTAGGGCATGAGCAAGTTTGGGTTTATGGCAAAAGAACTTAGTTAGCTGTGTGAACTTGGGGGAAGTTACTACATTTCTCTGAGCTTTTTCCTTACAAAATAAGATGATTTCCAAAGACCTCTACAGAACTGAACTTCAATAACTCTTACCTAGAGTAGCCTAAGTGACTGCTGGTTGGTAATCTTCCTACTTAAAAAACAATTTATTGCTCAAAGGAGATAGAGCCTTACGGATTGAAAAAGAACAACTAAACAAGTCAGTTCTTGGTGGATGACACTTGTCCTGGTGGACACTTCCATTCATACCCATGCTCCCTTGGCTGACCCCTATCAATGTGAAGTCCCCCATGGTTGTTATGGTGATTGTTTAATATTTAAGGAGACTCATCATAGTAGAAATTGGAAAATGACTTTTACATGGTCAGTCAAGTACACACAGATAAACATCTGCCTCCTTTCAAAATTGTTTTCTTTAAATTCATAAAAGGCTACTTGACATCAATATGGCAACCGGATCTTTTGATACTCAAAATGTATTCGTCTCCTGGTTTTGAAACAGGACACCAAATGTGTATAACCATTGTGACTACACTAATGACTTGTTTGGGGAAGTTTGAGAAGTTGAATGTTTTTCCACACTTTTATTATTAACTATGTATTGCCTGGAAGAAATACTTCCATAGCTCTTAGTRGAAGTAATCAGTGGAAGTCAGTCTTGGGGACAAGTCACCTGAGAGCTTTCCAGTTATTTCACCGAGAACAGCTAGAGCATGGGTGTCTTTCCTGGGGAGCTCAGTACACAACCTTTCTTGGTTGTCATAGGCTAAGGAGTGGAACACCCCCACACAGGACTCTGTGTTTCCACACTGAGCAAAAGCAGGAATAGCAGGACCATAAGGGGTCTGGGACATGAGGGAATCTTCTGCTGCACTGTAAATGTTACATTTCTCCCCCTGGCTGATGGTTACATGAATGTGTAGAGAGGCAATGCTCATTTGCTGTACATTTAAGATCGATGCACTGAAAATATGTACTTCACTGAAAGCACATTACTCTTCAATTAAAAAGCTAACAAAATGCCTTTATATTCTTTTTTAATCATATTTTTGAATTTCAAAAACTAAAGGCATGTTTCAAGGAGCTAAAAAACAGAATATTAAACAAAAAACCTTCTATGAGTCTACTGATCACACAAAAGTTAAGTGAACAGAGCATTCATCCCCTTCTCTCTTTTTACCAAGCTCTAGCTGTATAATCCATTATTCATTCGAGTTACCTATGAGCCAAGCAAAAGAAGAGTTATCTTAACATTTTTCAGATGTTGGACATTTTTTTCTGCAGCCACAGGGAAAATGGCAGAGTCAACACTAGAACCCAGGTCAGGCCCCCCGAGCCCAGTGTTCCATGTATCATGCTGCTTCCCTTTTGGTTATGGAGTTGTTGGGTAAAAATGTAGGCATCTTCTGAAATGYGTTTCTTTCTAGTCTTGTCATATGCTAAGATATGCTCTCCCTGAGCTAAGCAACCATCCATTTACAATTTTTCTGTGACTGCAGAGGCAAGTTGGAGAAGCCAGTGCAATTTGGAAAGGAGTGTTTTTTACAAGGCCTGGTCAGACCTGAAGACCTAGCCACCAGTGCTTACCGAGGCAGGGAACTGTACTGGCGCTGGGCCTGCTGGAAGCTCTCACGTTCCTCTTGCCGCTGCCGCTGTGCCTGCACTTCTACGGACACAGAGTGCCTGCCACTCTGTGCTGCTGGCCGGGAGCTGGGCTGCAGGAGAAAAGCACAGTTCCTTACCAAGACCGGAACTACAACACACATCAAGTGACTGTTTACTCAATTGCACTTTTTTTTTTCTTTTTTGGCATTGGTGGGTATGAAAACCCAGACCATGCCTATGCCAGCAAGCATTCTATCACTGAACCGCACGCCAGCCCCCAATTTCAATTCTTATAAATTGYGTTAAGAAATATTTTGTAAATTCTGGGAATATTCTTCCCCCTCAAATGAAGTTTCTTTGAGAAAAGGGGCATGTAATTTCCCTTCAGAGCCCCCAGTACTTCATCTTAAATTGTGATTTTGGCTTCAGTACAGGTTTAAACTGGAGGAATCAATCCTGCTAATCTTCTCAATAAGGTTTGTGAAATACGGACATGAGATACTAGTTTACATCCCTTGTGGATACAGCAAGTACAGAAAAGTAAGTTGCTCAGAAGACTAGAAGATGATAATGCCAAAAAATAATAATTTGCTGCAGTAATTCACAAAAGTGGGAAAGTCCACATTTGAAAGTTGGCTGTTGTTAGGGTTTAGATATGGGCTGTGCCCCAAAAGCTTGTGTGTGAGACAATGCAAGAATGTTCAGAGGTGAAATGGTTGGACTCTAAGAGCCAATATCTAATCAGTGGATTAGTGCGTTGATGGATTAACCTGGTGGTAACTATAGGCAGATGGGGCATGGCTGGAGGAAGTAGGTCACTTGGAGTGTGCCTTTAGGGTTTATATTTTATGCCTAGGGAGCAGAGTGATCTTGCATACACATTCGCTTGCTCATCTCCCCCTGCCTTTCCTGGTTGCCATGTTCTAAGCTGCTTCCCTCTTCCATACCCTTCTTCCATGATGCTCTGCCTCACCTCAAACCCAAATCTATGGAGTCAGCTGCCTAACTGTGGACTGAACCTTTGAAACTGTGAGCCAAAATAAATTTTTCCTTTTCTAAATTGTTTCTGCCCTGGTCTTTTGGTCACAGCAACACAAAGGCTAACTAGAACAATTGTGCTGGTGAATTTGGGGGGTATTTATGTATATTCAGTCTTAGCAGTAGACAGCCATATAAATCATTCTCTCTTCACTACTAGAGGCTAGGACCTAAAGAGAGATTTTCAATTCTCCTGGTTTGGTTAGTTTGGTCATCAGGTCATCTTTTGATTGGTACTTCTCACCAAAATTGGATTATTCAATTGGCACTGTATTGTATAAATGGAGGCCCTGAGAATGTTTCCAGTTCTCACTGACACTTGTTAGCTTACCCTCCAGATCTGGCCTTTGGAAATGAAAGTAGCTCTGCTCCAAATCAAAGGTGATAYCTCTAAGATAACAAAACACCCAGCAACGGTTTATCATTGCATCCAGGGCCACTGCCCTTAAGTCCTCCTTCCCGGCACTTGCTAACCTCTGTTCCCCCTTGTGTTGAGCAACATCATGCAACAGGCATATCTACATGAAGAACGTCTGCTAAGAACATGTTATTGATTTTCTTCTGGAGTTGAAAGCCAGTGGCAGACTTTGACTCAATAATAATTTTCTAAAATAACAAAATCTTAGTATTCATTTGGACAGTGGTTAAGATAACATGTCTCCTCTGGTTGGCTTTTGTCTGAAGAGAAATCAAACAGCATCTATTGTTCTCTTCCTGCCAGGCCAGCATTATCTTATTTGTTGATAAGCAATAATGAGGCAATATCCAGGACAAAAATTTCCAAGCATATGGGTATAGTCAGTGAGCATATTAAAAATATCCTGATACAAAAATAATGTGTGTAAAGATTAGGCTTTATAATACCCTGGTCTCTACTAGTCGATGTTTATAACCACACTCATTGGGACAAATGTGTGTTCAGAGACTCACTCCACAACTCTGTTCAAATAACACATTAGTGGTGCCTTCAGCAAGAAAAAACACTTCTCTGAGTGAGATTCTGCTTATGCAAACAAAGCATCAACCAGTTGTTCATCAACTCCATTAAAGGAGACAGACATTTACTTCCATTACTCTTGCTGAGACTCACCAAATAGGCTACCGAACTGCTTTGCTGTTCGTGGGGAGCCAAGGGAAGCTTGAGGGAAGCCACTGGACAGAGGGAAAGCAAAGCAAGAAAGCACTACACAGTTCCCATTACAACACAAAGAACCACATTTTCCTTTCCTTTTCACTCAGCGTAAGCCATCTACATGTGTCAAGCAGACTTGAAGGATATGGCATTCTGCAGCAGGATTTAGTAACCAGCTTTTTAAGCTCATGCTGTTCTGTGACACACTGCTTGCCGAGATGTGAAAAGAAAATGCAAGGTCTTGTAGAAATTTCAGGTGTATTTTTAAGCTGTTTCTCCAAGTAGTCTGAAATTTCTGTTCTGASACAGAAAAAAAAAAAAATAACTTGAAGGGTTTTTGTTTCCTCAACTGTGTGTTTTCTGACACTGTTCAGCTCAAAGCCAGCTGCAAGCATCTTCTTGGATCCTGACGAATTCTAGTAATGAAATTATCAGCATTTGGGGCCCATAAACTTTAATTGAGTGAATGAATCTGGTATTAGCAAAATGACATATTTCATGCTACCATGCTTGATATCATGAAATATGAATATTAGTTTCATCATTAGTAATCTTATTCCATTTTTCTTTCCAGAGCATGCAAAGGGTAGGTTAGTTAAGATAATTACTGTTATCTTTAAGATGAAACTCTAATAGGCCACACATTTCAAGGAAGATTGCATTCACAACCATCCCATAGCAGCAACTCAATAAAATCATTCTGGCAAGTTTTGTACTTGGCCTGAATTAAAAAAAAAAAAAAAAGAGAGAGAGAGAGACCTCTCTATTCACAATTTCAATGAAGACCTCATAAGCATGTGAATTACGGGAAGTTTTACAATTGATAATCCTACTTTAAATACAGTGACTTCAGTTCCTATGGCAGAGACAAATTCATACATCTGAGTGCAAAAATCACAAAATTAAAGAAATAAACCTTACAAACTGCATATTTTCGAAGAAAGCACTATTGATGACTATAACACTAACGTAATAACTGCACACAGAAATGCATGTGTAGACACAATTGTGATAGTCCTGGGGATTCTTCAGACAATGAGGTGAGGCTCTGTTTTAGAAGTACAAATTACAAATAACCCAGGCCTTGTTTGTGATKGGATGGGTTATAAAAAATAATCTTATAAATAAGAAAAAAAATGTTAAGAATGCCAATTCCAGAATAACAGTGGAAGGTTTAAAACAGAAATAAATATGATTATTATATAGTACTCTGGAATCTCTTCATGCCTTATTTTTAAACCACAAGTAAAAAAATATTCATGTTGCCTTTGAAATAAGGGAGCTACAGAGTTTTTCACTATGATTATAAAGAGACAATATTTGAAATTTGAGAAGACTAGACAATTTTGGTATAACTTTGTGTAATAAATATCTTCCATGTAGTGTTTCATCGAGTTAAGTCACTAACTAAGCATCTCTCAACGAATTAAAATCATTCTTATTTTTCCAAAATAAAAATGGAAAATATAAAAATAAAAATACAAAACAAAATAGTTAATACACTAACGAATAAAAATAAATATAACAGTGCAAAGTTTCAGTACTAATTATATGTAGGTAACATTGTAAAACTCTTTTTTACAGCTTGCTATAGAAGTACATGTTCATAATAAAATCATTACTTGTTTACTAACATTTACATAAAATATTCAATAATCTTTAAAATAGCCAATTTTCTTCATCAAGAAAAATAGTGTATACATATGTGTATCTGTCTATATAGATACACAAATATAAATGATCACTTGGAGTTGATTTTCTATAAAATTATGAATAATAACAAATGTCCAAATTCACACATATGACTCAGGGCATATATACAAAACAAAATTATAGGCCGGCACAGTGGTGCACACCTGTAATCCCAGCGGCTTGGGAGGTRGAGGCAGGAGGATCGCAAGTTCAAAGCCAGCCTCAGCAATTTAGAGAGGCACTAAGCAACTCAGTGAGAACCTGTCTCTAATAAAATACAAAATAGGGCTGGGGATGTGGCTCAGTGGTGGAGTGCCCCTGAGTTCAATCCCTAGTACCCATCCAATAAATAAATAAATAAACAAATGATAAAATACAAAAAAGTTACTGTGCTTTGGATGTAAACCTATCATGAATGATTATGATGAGAATAGTTGATGATGAAAATAATAATAAATCATCAATGATATCCCTTTAAGATTGAGAATCCTTATTTTAGCAATCCCAATGTTTTGTGACTCTACTATGAATTTCATAATCTGATAAAATGTCAATTTAAAGATTTGGTACAGGGTAGAAATAATATTTATGCACCAAATCATGTAAAGGGTATAAACTATTTCCTTAAAAGTRATCATTAATAATAGTGGCAATTATTTTCTATGGTAGACTTCTTACAACGTTTAATCAAAACAATGTCCACTTCTGTCTATCTGCCCTGGTGTCTTAGCCCTCTGCCTCATCACAGCAATTAAATTGTTGTGGGTTCTGAATGTTGAAAATCTTAATTGCTATGGAGAACCTTAGCCATGGCTTAAAAATCTGCAGAGCATACCTATTTCCCTCATAGAGATTTTATATTTGCTCATTTGGGTTTTTGACACCRTATTTGTCTTTTTCTCATCTTTCTCATTAGTGCTTGGGTCTATTTGATTTCCTCACCTTAATCAACAAGTATGTTGAAAATCAAAGAAAAACTCTACAGAACAAGCCAGGCACTCTAGGTCAGGTGCTAATGGCAGCCAAAGGCTCCTTCATGAGCTCCTGCCACCCTAACCTTCTGTGGTGGAATGACCTATGGGTCATGGGAGGTTTGGCTGGGGAAAGAGGTCATGGTGCTAAAAATAAAGGGGTCTACTTTGTAGAAGCATAGAGGCTCTCTCTATGGGCAAAGGGTACTCCTTTGCTAAAAGAATGGTTTCCTCCAGGTCTGTTTCTAAGGCAGGTGATTGCCACCCAGTTTGAGCTGGGGTCATGAAAGCAGAATTTTTTTGAGTCACAGTATGGAAGCCACTATGAAGAAATGACAGCAGATACCTTTCAAGTCTTAAAAAGGAGGAAAACAAAAGGAAGACCACAATTTTCTCAAATCCCTAGGCATAGAAAGGCAATCTAGGAGCATAGAGTGGCTGTTCACTGTAATTGGCTTGCCAATTAAAAGAGGCAAAACCCTAAAAGCGGTAAGAAGAGCTATTAAGGTCCAGGAAAATGGAGGAAAGTGCAGATTTTGTTATTTGTTTAAAACAAGGAAGAAAGCAAGCTTGGGGGAGAAGAGGATATTCATAGTGCAGAGTGTCAATTTTCTACCTGAAGGACTAAACTACTTTCACTACCAACCTGGGATGGAAAGGATTTAGCAATATAGCTATTAAAGGATCCATTATCCCATCTATCAATCGTCTCAGCCAGCAAGTTTTCTTGTGGGCAACACTCATATCTGCAAAGTTTTAACAGCATACTGTACTTATGTGTGTAGCCTGCAATTTAATTCTTTTAAAAGCAATGCTAAGTCCTGTCCATATCTGAACTATGTAATAATAGCCCTAACCTCAGCTATTGTTCCATTATCTTAAGACAGATTGAAAGCGACTTGCTGCTTTATTTAGATTGCACCTGGCACTATGTGAGGTAGAAGTTGCTTTTCCTTCTTCTTACTCAACTTGGGGGAGAATTGACTTCAATTATGGAGCTGAGGAAATTTTCTGGGCCCATGCTCATCTAAAGACTTTTTGTGCCACGGATCAGCTCCCTCAGGCCCAAACATTATTTTGAACAAAGGCCCATGAGCAGGTGCATTCCATACTGCTAGAGTTTGTACAGCCCTTTTTCAAAATAGATGAATTGAAAAGGGCTACTTGGATAAATTTTCTGCAGCATCCTACCCTGTATGTAAAGTAATTGGCTTGGATGTTTTTCTGTGTGACACATCTGGTTGCACTTTGTGTGTGGGCATTTCTAACAAGCATGACAATTTCGACTAATATGGTCTAAGTTGTACACACAGCTTGAAGATGAGTTTGTGGCTCCATAAGGCTAAAATGATTACAAACCATTCCAATGGGTGAGATCATGMTCTCATCCTTTCCAAACACAGTGACCTTGCAAGGTCAGAAGACATACGGGAAGAGGAGAAAGGAGTCCAAGATACTCAAAGCTCATTTTGTAAAATGGCTAATAAAAACCATATACCAAATTACATTTGGAACTGAGCAGCTCTTACTAAGGTAACAATGAGAATTGGTATGAAAATTAATACACTAAGCAGAATTATAGTCACTTTAAGCTCATTTACATGATCAGTAGAATGGAAAGTCCACAGCAAGATCCCAATTGTTTAGATATGAAAAAAAGAAAAGAAAAAGAAAAGGTCAACTTCCGACCCACAATTTAGGAAATTATTCCTTTCCTAAGGTAATAAGCCTGTCATCCAAGTAATAATTCCCTGCTCACTCATTACAGGAAACAATAATATAAGCCAAGTTGTCTGTCTAAAAGTTCCAATGGTATTTTGATATACAAAAATTTGGCCTATGACCTTCAGTAGTTGAGTTTCCAAATGTACAAGATTATCTCAAATGTTTTCCCTAGAACAACTGCTCATATTAAATAGATAACATAAAATACAAGTGTCAATATATTCACTGCTCTTATTGAAAAGAATCTTATTTAAAAACTTCCAAAACACAGATTTTGAATGATTTTGACTTCTCCTAATGAAAAGCATTTCAGCAATGCTAAGAAGTAGGAAACCCTCATTTAGCCTGGAACTTGGAGGTTTTGTATGTGATACAATGTCACCAATCAGATACAAATTCATGAACCTTGGTTTCCAAAGATATGTCATTCTACTTCTCAAACTTAGGTATTCAAGATATATTCCAAGAAGGTTTCTTTCAAACTTTTCCTGTCTACCTAAAACTGGTTTGGGCCTCTCTCCTGTGTGTCTGTCCCATGCTTATGCAACATGCTCCTTCGATACTGTACAGTGTCCTTCTTTGTATCAGCTCTACTGTGGTGTTCTAAGGACAATCTTTCTTTCCTGTTCTTGTTCTTCTTATTAAGCATAATACTGAACCATRGTAAACCCTAATAAACTCGATGAATTAAATAATTTGTTTAAAAAAACAAATGTTGTAAAGATGCTGGTTGGAAATCCACACTCTCCAGTAGAATAAAATGGCCTAATGCTGCTCCCCTTGGTAGAGTATGGGAATGATAAGCCATTGTGTGTGTGTGTGTGTGACATCTGTTTCCACCTGCAGTTGCTGTTTTCTTCAGGTTGACAATATGCTCTTCATTCTTCTCAGTTCCTTTGTGCAAATATACATCATTAAGAACATATTTACCATATATCATTAAAAAAAATCCTGCTTTAAAAAAACTAGTGGGAGTAGTTGGAGTGGATTATATCAAATGACAGGAGGAGATGAAAACAATTCTGTCCTGTTGCTACCATGGAAATGACTTGATTTACTTAATCATCTAGAAAAATAAACTAAATGCCTTAGGAAAAAAAATACCACAAATAGCACTATTGTCAAAGAAGACAATTCGATATTTTCATTGATATTAGGCTTGCTAAACTTGTTTTATAACCTCCCCAAATAAGGCAAAGGATTGATTTCATGAGTTATTTTTACTCCAGGATGCTGTTTCCATATTGCCAGTGGCCTATTTTAAAGTCCCTTTTTCCTTACCTAAACTAAAGTGAATTCTTTCAACGTAGAACTACTTTCCTTCTTCTCCTTTCACCTCGAAATTAATCTTCCTCAACTCCACTATAATTATTAAATCCCTTAATCAGGAAACTTTATGGGTTTCTTGCTTTATGTAATTTATTGGTGATTTCAGGTTAGGACCAAAAGGATCTCAAGGACCATCCAGACTCTAGAACACTGTGCTTCTTAATGTTGGAGGCTTGCTAACATGCAGTTAGCAAGGCCCCACCCACAGAGGTTCTCATCTAATGGGTCTGAACCAGGGTTCGAGAGTGTGTGTTTCCAATGGGTTTCCAGGTAACAACTGAAGATCTGACCTATGGAGCACACTTCAAGAAGATCTGATCCTGACAGCAATTAACTAGCTCTGCAGCAGCCTCTGCATTCAACTAGCGGAGCTCTGCCTGTATCTGCTTTGCACACCCAGTTGCCTTTTTTCATATGATCACAGGGTCTAGTAACTATCCCTGCTCTAATCTTCCTGACTTAACAAATAAGAAAACTGAAGCCTGGAGGACTAGTGGATCAGTGTTCTGCTCTGGTACCATCCCTTTTCCAACTTTTAATCTAGCATCAAASCCTCCTCCTACTTTTCTACCTTTAATCTCTACTTCCCTTCAAAATACCTAACCTTCAATTCTGCTTCAGCTGGATGGTTTATCCTTCTACAAATAAAATAGGATCATTTGTTTTTACTTCAAATCTTTTGCCCCTAGCTTCTCAAAAACTTAGTGTAATTAATTCTACTCCTGACACTTTATCCAAACTGGACTCATCAAATTTATTGGCACTAACCTCTGTTTCTGTAACATTCATGCACAAAAGACATGTCTTAGATCTCAACATTATCCAGAACTTTGGCACCTTCAAGATCTTGGAATCCAAAAATACACAGTGTTTTGACTATAACCTCCTAGATTTGAAAATCCCTAAATTTCCGATCACTCTTTCATACTCCCAAGCTCTCAGACAATCCTTCCTTGTCACCCTGCCYAGATTAGGTGATGCTGCACCAGTATCTCACCAGGACTCCAGAATGCCTTCCTTAACTTTCTGCCATGCCTATCTTACCACTCTCTATCAGAGAATTAATCTATAAATTTATTTTTCTTTATTCCCATTCCTCTAAGCATTTTTAGTCATGGTTATCTTACTAGGTTGATTGGACTGTAGAATATCCAGACCTGAATTTTTCTACCTGAATCAGCTTACTTATTTGTCTCTAACTGACTCACTCTCAAAAATCCTCATTATCTCAAACTCAAGTCTGCTCCAACATCTATTCACAAAGATGCCATCATTTCTAGAATAAAACACAAGAAAAGGACACAGGTCTGGTATTGAGAAAAACATTTGAAATTTTGTTCTAGAAAGATCTCTCTGAAGGCTGTGCAGAGGATAGACTGGAATAGAGATGTAGACGGATAAATGAGAGTGATTTGACAATACTCAAGGGGGATGAGGGAGAATAAAGACTCAAGAATCATTATTAAACACTGTACTTTGTGCCTCACAGACACAAATAGAGATAAATGTGTTTAACTTAGTTTGGCTCTAATTCTGATGTTTCTATAGAAAAATATTTACTAAAGTTAATAAAAATACACAGTTGAGGGCATGAATATTTTTTCTATGTCTTGTCATAAGGCTAATTAAACCTATTATGCAATGGACAGATGGTGGAACAAGATATAAAATGAAATTAGCAATGATGAAACCCAGATGGAAATGAGGAAAASGTCAATATGTTAAAGGTCAAAGGAATTTGGCTCCATCTTGTCTCATTTCTTAAAGGACTGAGGTCATAGCTTTGGGTCCTTTACTGCAGGGAAGCTGTAGGACTTTCATTGTGCTGAAGAGCCACATACTAACCCATGGTTGTTCAAAGCTATAGGTGCGTCGCCGATCTTCCACATCTTCATCTTGCTTTGCCTGCTGAAATTCTTGCCGCAGACGCTGTATCCGATCATGGTTGCTTGGAGTTGATCGGTTGCTGGAAGAGACAAGGGGCAACAATGAACACCCATCAGAAATATGATCTGTGAACTGCAGTTGCTAGGGAAAATGGCAACTTGCTGTGAAAGGATGTTGTTTAAGAGGAAGTGAGTTTTTAAAACAGTATCTGGACATTTAAAATATGTTTTCATCTTGTTCTTAGGATTGGTGCTTATTGCACAGTTATTTCAGACAGATATCAAAGAGGATATATGGTATTTTTAGATATTCCCCCCCCCCCCCCGCCCATTGATCTTTAAAAGCCTCATCTCCTTTCTGTAATCTGGTAAGGTGCTGGCAGTGAAGTGTTTTGGGAAAGGACATGGCATTAGGCAGCAGAGATACCAGGGTCCTGCTCTAGCTCCTCCCTTCTGATAAGAGTTTCTTGATGTGAAATGGAGATAATTTTGTTCTAGATATTATAGTTATCATAATAATCAAGTGAAATGACACCATAAAAGGTTTCCTCACAAATGTGCAGCACTCTTTTTTCATAATGCCATTATATAAAGTTCTTATTTATGAGTCATCAGAGGTCTATGAAAAAACACTACTCTCACAGCATAAATTAAAAAAAAACATTTAAAAGATGAGTTCAAGTGGTAGTTTAATTTAACCATTTAGTTAACAATTACACTTTCTGTTAGTACAGCATTGAATTTTGTTTTATACCTACAAAGAGTTTAGCTTGTAAGAGTAATATGGAAGGTAGTATTACACATACACACACRCACACACCCACACACATTTGCAAATGTGGAAACTGATAGCAGGTGGCTTGCTTGACTGAGGTCTCTCATTTGGCCAATAGAGAAAGTGGGACTACAATCCAGATTTTCTGGCTCCTAGTGTAGTTCCCACATCACTATGCCACATGTATTACTTAGTAAAACAAATGTCAGATTCCAAAGACCCCCTTTGCAAAATTATATGTCTTTAAAACAGTATTTTTGTATTAAAAAAAAAACACAGCTCAATGACCAAAATTAAGTCAATCTTAAATCTCACAATACTTCTTGCCTATTCCATTCACTGAGACACTAGTCACACTCTGTCATGAATGCTATGAAAGCACACCAGGTATATTCTGGTATATTTCATACTTCATACTATGAAGTATGAAAACTTCATACTCCTTGAGGTCAAGAAAAAAGTTATATTTCTTCCAAACTGCTGGCAGAATTGGAAACTGCAAGCTATTGGGATGATCAGGGGGCTCTTCACTAAAAATATATTTCCCACAACTTTCTCAAWAGGACCCCTAAAGTTCAGAAAATAATGCCAAGAGTTAATAAATGGGATGGCATCAAATTAAAATATTTTGCACAGCAAAAGAAACATTTAAGAATGTGAAGAAAAAAACCTACAAAATGAAAGAAAATTTATGGCAGCCATACTTCTGAGAGAGGATTAATATCTAGAATATATAAAGAATGCAAAAAACTTCAGCSCCCCCTCGACAAACCCAATTAATAAATGGGCAAATGAATTAAACAGATGCTTCACAAAATAAAAAATACAATGGTGGAATGTGATAGACATCATTATCCAAAGTACATGTATGAAGACACGAATTGGGTGTCAAAATACTTTATATACAAACAGAGATATGAAAAATTGTGGTATATATGTGTAATAAGAATTGTAATGCATTCTGCTGTCACTTTTTTAAATTAATAAAAAAGAGAAAATACAAATGGCTTACAAATATTATAAAAAATGCTCAACATCTCTAGTAATTAGGAAAATGCAAATCAAAACTACACTGAGATTTTCTCACACAGAATGTCAGTCATCAAAAAAACAAAAAAGAAACGGTGGTATAAATAAATGGCAGAATATTACTCAGTATTAAGAGAGAAAAATGTCATGGCATTTGAAGATAAATGGATGGAGTTGGAGAATATCA